ATACCATCATTCTGATGAATTCATATTATCAGATTCAGACGCCAACAATAGCACAGGTTCATCATCAGACTCTCCTCTGGCTATATTTGCTTCTTCTGACTTTCTTTCTTTGTTTAACCAGCAATATTTAGCATAGTGACCAAAGTTCTTGCAACAATAACACTGAACATTCTTCTTCTCAGACTACTCCTTTCCCTTCTGGACATTCTTCTTCCTATCATAGTTTTAAGCTTCTGACCTTTGACCATCATTAGTTTTCTTCCTGACTTCAGACCAAGTCTGCTTCTGATACTTCTTACCAGAAGTTACTTTCAGAGCCTGCTGCTCTACTTTCCTCTCAGAAGTTCTCGCAGTCATACGCAACTCATGCGTCTCTAGACTACTTTGTAGCTCTTCAACTCTCATGGTGCTCAGATATTTGGAATGTTCAATTGCTACCACAAATGTAATCAAACTGAGAAGTTAAAGATCTCAAGATCTTCTCAATGATTACTTGTTCAGAAAGAGTTTCTCCACAAGATTTCATCTTATTAGTGATCAGAATCACTCTAGAGATGTACTCAAAAACCTTCTCATTGTCCTTCATGTTGAGATTCTCATATTTTTTCTGAGAGACTGAAGTTTCACCTTCTTCACTGAAGCTTCACCACCGTAACATCTGACCAGTGTGTTCCACGCAACCTTTGCTATTTCAGAGTCAGTAATCTTCTCAAACGCGTTCGCATCCACACATTGATGGATGTAGAACAACACCTTCTGATCTTTCTTTCTTAGCGCCCTATGTGTTATCTTCTATGTCTCTGTTGCGTCTGATTCTAATAGGTCATAGCCATCGGTGACAAGATCTAACACATCTTGAGAACCAAATAACATGCGCATCTGGATCTTCCAACGATTCCAGTTTTTGCCATCAAATACTGGAAGCTTGGAATGGATATCACCGCCGTTTCCGTTCATCTTCTACCTTGTGCAAATTTACGCAGAAACTCAATAAAGTTGTGTTTCCCAAATCCCCAGAATCAGAAACAACAGTTATCACAACACCTCACTGTTCTCTCGTGTTTCCCGTGAATTTCTAACCGGAGCTCTGATACCAATTGTTGGTGCACAAAAGAAGAGATGAAAGGCAAAAGGAATATATTTAATGACGGCTACAAAAATAAGGACTAATGATTTACAATGAATTACATTGACCTACCTCACTAGGCTATTTATACACAAAATAAAATCATAAATATTCTCTAACAAAGATATAAAAGGATCTAAAAGATATTCCTAAAATATAAATTAATATCTAAAAGATATTTCTAAATTAATTTCTAAAATATAAATTAATTCTAACACCTTTAGGTAAGTGGTTGTCAAATGAGAAACCTCGGAAATCGGGGGTGCGAAGATGATAAGTTGACAATATACGATGAGAATCTCTAAGTGCTGGTATCAGTTCTAATGGCACGATTTTGTGAGCGTTTTAAGCAAGGTTCTAAGCTTTGTCTCATTTTTCTTTCAACATCGGAAGTGTTCTATGTCATACAAGCTTTCATTTACTACCAAGACCGCGTCCTATGGGTTCTTGTGCATCTAAATACATTTCCTTAAAGATGATTGCATGGGCTTTAGTTGTTAAGTGTTCAGCATAGCATACTACGACCAAGTTGTATCATGTAGCGTCATTTGGGTGGATAATAAGCACTACAGGGTTGTAGAGTCATGTTAACATCAAGGTTTACTCCTTTGAGCCATGCAGAATCTGAGGTGCATGCATCATGGAAGGATATTGCTCAAAATGGAAGTTACAGACTTGTGTATTAAGGGTGTGGTGCACTATACGCTATCTTGTTCTCTCCTTCACCTGATAAGAGCCCACGCTTCATCATAATAGAGAGGATCAGTGGATCTCATGCTCCATTTTTTGTTTGTGTTCTTCTCTCTTCTTCCTACCACCTTCACCAACAACAAAACAGAGCTCTCAACAACGCTCTCTCATAGCGTCAACCTCGCAAATTTCTGAAACGCGCTTTCGGATTGCTCATCAAGAACCTGCATCATTGCTTCCGTTCTTCATCATCTTCAACGTCTCATAATCCTCACAGAAAATCGAGCCGGACGGTGGTGTTGTTTTCTTTTTCTAATGTGATTGGATCACCGGAGGTGGTGGTGAACCATCGGAGGTGACGACCGGAGCTAGGGTTCCGATGTCACTGTTCACACCTGATCATTTTGGTTTGAATCGTTGGCTCATGCGTGGACAGGTACTATTGGACATGTTTTAAATTCACTTATCCATCTCAACCAATTAATTATGCGTTAATTATGTTTAATATAATTAATTGATTGATAATAAGGATATTTTATGATATTGGATCAAACGCCATGGGCCTAGCGCAAATGCATAATCGCACCCTACTCTTAAGCCCAATATTTCATGATATAAAGTATATTGGTTCAATTGTCAGATTGTTATCGCACCCCATCCCTTTTATTTGAATTCTGATGCCAAAAAGGCTTAGTGGGTGCAAACAAAAAAGGCATGTATATAGATTCCTATCCCCACCCCTTGTAAATGGGCCAAAGAGCCAAGTGCAATAATTTCTGTTCAAATTTTGGATTGCTAATACACCCCTGGAAGTGTTGAATGTAATTTTTGATAGCCTGATCATTTAACTTGCAATTTGATTTTTCAAGTTTGTGAAAAAACCACAAAATACTTTCTGATTAATTTAGCGTCATGAATAATTTGTAATATTTTTATTCTATTTTTCCTTATTTTATTTGATTTAATTAGAGGCAAATTTCACCAAGGCATTCAAAGTGTACACGTTATCTTGGTGGATCTAATTGAATGATCATTTGAATTAGTTTTTGGCTGGATTTTTGGACACATTGAGGTGTCTAATTGATGATTGATATCATGATGATTTAATACTCGATTGAATTATTTTTCATAAGTATTGATGCATATTTTGTAAAGCCTTGATACTTTGCCTATTTGTGGTTTAAAGCTTGAAGTAATGAATTATTTGAGGTATATTCTTGGTGAAATAAATTATAGGACTTCTCTTAACATGATATGTGATCCTTTAACTCGAGATGCACAATTTTATCTTACCTTATTATTAATTTCTAGGTCATTACTTGTTCATCCTTTGTAGTTACAAGATAATGTGTAGTTTGTTAACGTGTCTACCTTGTTAGATAATTCTTTTAATCTTGTCTAGATATGGTTAAGTTAGCTTGTTAGCATCCATACCTTATGCAAGGTAGTTTAAACCTCAAGTCTAGATAGACTTAGGTAGTGCTAGATAACACCATTGCTTAGATAAGCAACCTTCCATACCTTAGATAAGGTAGTTTAAACCTCAAGTCTAGATAGACTTAGGTAGTGCTAGATAGCGCCCTTGCTTAGATTAGCAATTCTTACCTTAGATAAGGAAGATTGAACATTAAGTCTAGATAGACTTAGGTTGTGTTAGGTAGCACTATTACTTAGATAGGTAATCCTTTACTTAGATAAGTAATCTTTGATCCTAAACCTTGATAGGTCTGAGGATTGAGTTTTGTGATGCATGAGATATACTGGATGTACTTGTGGTTGCCTTGCTAGGCATTTGTGATTCATTTTTGGGTTGATACCTTTACATTTGTTGTTTATCATTTGGTTGTTACCATTGTTGTGATGTTGTTACATTGTTTACCTTGTGATTCCATGCTCCCTTAGAATCTCGATTCACTCTTGGTTAAGATAAATTGAGTAGACTCTAGGCTTGTAAACCAAGCATGAGAACTTTAGGTAGGATTTCCTATATCTAAACTTTAGGGCCACAATTGCACGACAACAAGTAGGATTGAGATCCCTTAGCTTTAGGTTTAGTTCTTACATTGCATCTTGTAAAACTAAAACCTTTTTCTCAAGCAAACTCATAAAACACTTAATGAGTAAAGGTACGTATAGTGCACCACGAGCCTTAAGTACATGAAGAGGACTTCGGATCCGAGGCGTCTGACTCAATCATCCAAGGGTATTCATGTCATAGACTTTAGCATGATACATGTCTCAAACACTTTCAAAACTTAAAGGAAATGGATTCAAGTACCCCCGGGAACCACTTGAGGAATTTCCTATAAAAAATACTCAACCAATCAAACTCTCTTTTGTCGTCTGGACTTTTCTTATGAAAAATTTTCAGAAAGGGTTGTTACCCATAAAAAAAAAACCAAAACTATTGAGTCGAACTACGGTGCTCTGATTCCTTGAAAAATGATAGTAGGCCTTAGGATGCAAGGCCTAAGCGAGCACAACTATTTAAAACCTTGGCTTTCCCTGTATAATTTTCTCATGCATTTCCCTTAGCTTGTAAGTTTAGATAGACAAACCCTTTGATTAGAACAATAAGAGTGAATCTCATGGAGTACCACAAACGTGATGGGTGCTAATACATTCCCCTTGTGTAATTGAATCTTGTACCTTCTCTTGGTCGCAAGACCTTGTTTTCTCTCAGGTTTACTCAATGTTTTCTTTTCCACTCCTTAGGATAAATAATATTCGATGGCGACTTCATTGTTCATTTTCCTAGTTGCCTCAAACGTCATCATTGCGATAAAGGTAACATAATCAAATTACAAGTCTGGAAATAGGATTGAAATCCAGTGATATCAAATGCTTTAATTACAGGATGCCATTCAAATCTTTACACTCAAATAAAAACTTAATCTAAATTCAAAATGAAGAACAACAATCATGTTTTAATTTCAACCAAAAGTAAGACATATATTTTATGAAAATAATGTGTGTTTATGTGTGCACGTGCACACGTGCATGCACACATGTTTGTGTGTGTGTTAAGATAATATATTTTTGAATTTTTAGAATTTAAACTTTTCAGTTTAAATAGAAACTCAATATGTGATTATTATTCAATATATTAATAATAAATTGTTGTTTTATTAGAATTTTTAGTTCAAAGTGAGTCATAAATTCAACTTTTTTTTTTTAAAATATCTACAATATAAGAAAAGTACATCTTTTTCCTTCAACTGTTCTGCAGCCGACACATGGATTCTTGAGTGAACACCACAACCTACTACCTGGCTTCTTCACAACACACTTCTATTTTTTCCCAATTTTTCCTCATTTATTTTTTCCATTTCCTTTCTTCTGTGGCAGTTATCCAATGCAATTGAATGGTTTTAGAAACGTTTTACTCTCCTTATTCCACATTCAGAAACAATTTCATCACCCCATTAATCTTGCAACCTCCCTTCCAGTAATCATGTGTGTGATGTATTATAAACGCACATCCTTTCAACTTCCATCTCATATTCCTCACACACAATCATCGATCAACTTTTTTATTCTAACCATTCCCACGACAATTACATGGCCATACCCGCGGAAGAAACTCTGCGATGTTACCGGCAGATCTGACGTTTTCATCGGTTCATTATCAACATCAAGACGCTCAGAAACCACAGAAAATCCATAATCCCGGTTACAGATTTCTACAAGTTCGGACTATTGAATTGTTGTGAGTTGATGTTGTGATTTGATTTCCACTTTGATGTTTTGATTGTTGAAAATGGTTGGAATAGTGTTGCAGGTTCTGATGAATGAATGTTAAGGATCAATTGAAGAGCTTTTTGATGAATAATGCTACTGTTTGCACATGATTTTGGAGGAAGAATTTCAACACAAATTTTAGCAGCCTAACACATCTTCCTCCCTTTTTCTTTGTGATCTCTGCCTCTACCTATGTTTTTCTTTGTATCAATTACATTTTTTAAATTTTGCAGACAAATTTTATCTACTAGACAGGTATCAGTCATGCTTAAGAAACAATTATTAAGGAAGAGCGATTACTTGGGCTTTATAAGGGACTTGGAACTACACTTTTAGTATGTTGTTATTATCAATTTGCCAATACTTAAAGTATATGTTCATTTCTTCTGTATTTAACTGCTTGTATATATTAATGAGGGCAGGTGAAAAAACCAAAAGAAATGTTAGTTATAGGTTGTATTTTGAAAACCTATTTTAATAGTTTGATATTTTTTGTAGGAAGTATTTATCTCGGTATTCACAGTTTGATTGATGTTGTTGTTGGCCTTTTTAGTTGACTTGGAATCCTTGGACTTTGGCTTCAAGTTAATGAGTACATAGACAGTTTTGTTGTCTTAGAACAAATTGGTATTCTTCTAATTGATTAATTCACTATGTTTCCCTATGTTTTATATTGTATTTCCTTTGTGAAATTTTAGATTGATACCAGTAAGTCGACAGTCGAAGTTATGAATCACTACGAAGCTTTGGTTCATGATGGGATTCAATCTTTTGTTCAATGTATAACAACAGGTTCAAGAACGGGAAAGTTAGGGTTTTAATTTTTTGGTTATGGTTTTTGTGTTGGTTTGATGATTAAGAGTGATGATATATGATGTTCTGTTGCAACTGTTTCAGGTCCTCCGTACTCACGGCTTCAAGACAATTCACCATGCTCCAAAGATATTAATTCTCTTTGTTTAACTGATTTCAAAAGATATAATACTTGTCTCATCACTGATCTGTATAATATTTGTTGGTGCTATGTGAATATTCGATGAATAGTTTCGTTTTAGCAAAATCTGTTTTGGATTTAATTGGTAGGGAGTGTTGACTGATGCTGTGGAAACGCTGGATCTGCTGGATCTACCATAACATTCCTCTTCGAGACCATTATGGGTTTGTAGAGGATACAGTTAAATGAGCTTATATTTACTTGGTGTTGTATCAATGTGAAAGGTTAATTCTTGATAGAAATTTCCTGAGCTATGCCCCTTGGTAATTTATTTATTACCTTAGTTTATGTGGCCATTAATTTTTGCAGGGGCCGCCAATGGAGACTTCCACCAACAGTTTATCAGCCAAACCAAAAAAGGGTCAAAAGAACAAAAGAAGCAATCATCGTCGTTCTATGGGGGAGTTATTGGTGCCTCTGTTTTTGTCCAAGTTTCCCATTCCTTCTAATTCCAATGTGTCTCATAAAAAAAGTCTTGAATGAGTGAGTTTTTAGTATATGTTTCACATGTGTATGCCTGCCTGATCAGTTATTTGCAAAATTTATTATAAATATTTTCTATCAACTTATTTTTTAAGATCTATTGACATCTTACTGCCAATAGCAATAATTACTCTGTTCATTTTGTTGATGTTTTCCTTGCCGCCTATTTGCCAAGCAACAATGTAAATGTGACAATTCTCATCCAAAAATGGATCTTGCCACTGTATACCATAGTTGTTTCTGTACCCCACCTCATTGCAAGTGAAAATTGGGTACTTGGAGAACTAGGCTCCTGTCTATCAGAGGTAAACCATGCTCAATCTAGCTATCACAGCTCAAGCATGTTCTGTCTCATATGGATTTTCAATTTGGTTTCATGAATCTGTTGTGATATAGTCAGGGAAACATTATGAGGTGATTCAATTTTGGTTTCAAACCCTGTGTGTCATTTTAGGAGATGAGTGCTGATGTATATTCTCAATTGCTTATGGCATTGGTTATGTCGGATACACAAAAGGATTAATATGCAACGTAACAATATTAACAATATAAACTGTATATTTTTGTATGCTGTGTTGGAACTTTAGTATTGTTTTCCTTTAGTTTTATTCGGTCCGAGCATTAAATTCTCCATTATTAATGGAATTCGTATCGAGTAATTTTCTTTTGGGCGTGTTTTTTGTTTTATTGTACATATTGTAACGAAGGTAATGAAAATGGATGCTGCTGAACCATTCAATGTTCCTGTCAATCCGAAAGTTGTGGAATTCCTGTAAGTATAAATATTTTCAAGTAACTTTTTCAAGACAGAGATGATTTTACAAAACTCATGATATTTGTTCATTCATGGAGAGTAATGCGATTCTCTGTGAAACTTGGAACAAAAACGAAGAGAACTTTTTTGAAAATAATATTGTGTTTACTTGTATCTAATATCATATTTCATACACTGTCTAGAACCAGGACTATTTTGATATCATTGATACACCAATGGATTTTGGAATGATATGTAACAACCTTGAAAAGAATGGAAAGTATATGATGTCGGAGGATGTCTATAATGATGTGAAATACATTTAGAAGAACCGCTATAAGTATAAGAATAAGGGTGACTATATTGTGGATCTTATGAGGCGAGTAAAGAAGAACTTTATGAAGTATTGGACTGCTGGTTCTTGGAACATACCGAGCCATTATTGAAAGTAACTATAATTCCTCATGAAACAACGACTCTTGGGTTTGTTCAGTATGTTCCAAATGAGAACCTTCTGATGACAAAGGAACAACTTTATGATAGGACTTGTATGATCCTTGGTGGCAGGTTTGCTGAATAGGTTCTTATTGGAACAATTTATGCCGGCGTACAAAATGACTTGGAGGATTCATATGAGACGTCTAAACTGTACAACAGTAAAACTGGTATAATCATTGATTCTGAAGAGCGATAATAGGTGAATAAAACATATGAATGTACGATATAACATATTAAGGAACACAAGGAGAAAGTAGCTCAAATAACATAGTTACTGCTCGAAAAATTAGTACTTCACCAAGATGACTTACTTCAAGTCTTAGGCACGCGACCCTTCAAGTGTGCTGAAGTCACTAATTATGATAGATTTAAGTTAGAATTTTATGATGACGAGATGGTTTTAGAAACCACTATCGATATAGAGTAAGATCGTTTTGTCATAGTTGATTAAGTTTATGTTCATTATATTTTTTTACTACTATACATGAATTTGGGGTGTTATTGATACATGTAGATATGATAGATTGATGATGCGATAAGAAATACATTTAAAAGAGAAGTAAAATATGATTTTATTTCATTGATTTTTTCAAGGATATGTTATTGTGCCATTCATGACAGGGCTGAAGGCTAACACAGTACATCATGTGTCATCATAATACCACCCTAAACTCAAGACAAATTCCATAAAATAAGCATAATACAATTCAAATTTAACCAAAACATATCCACCTATTATGGCAAAATACACACATCATATACAATACAAAAACCCCTTAAAACTTGCCATTTTCAAAACAGAGAAAAAACATTATAATGCAACCCTTATGAATCCAAAACAAACCACCTACAATAAATATCAAGATCAGACCCACATCAATGCAATTCACTCGTCAAATCTGAGCAAAATACAAGCTTTACGCACATGAAAAAGAAAAGCTCATCCAATCATGTTGACAGTCCAGATTCCTCGCCTATATAACATAAGTCTACAAGTTCACAACCAATTCAATGTTGATTCTCAGAGCAAGATGCACCAAAATTTTGTCAACCTTTCAAGTCTCCCATGCTTTAAACCCATACTCAGACCAAAAATTCAAATAAATTAATGCACCTATAGACATTTTCAAATTCTATCCAATTCAGTTCATATGGCAGCCAATAAAGTTTGTACATACCTCATTTTAAAGTACACAATACAAATCAAATCAATTCCTTTTGTTTCAAGACAGACACAAAAATAGTCCTTAACATAAGTCAGCCCACATTGTTTCAATAACTTCAAACCTGCAAATGGAAATCATATAATCCAGTTCAGTCTATGTAAATCTATGACAATTCGTACATGACAGTTCAAGCAACTAACCAAGATATTGATCAAACTATTGAATATTAACGAGAATATGAATTTACTGATCAAAATATTGAATAATAACGTGAACATAAAGTTACTCATCAAAATTTTGAATAATAACGAGAACATGAAGTTACTGATCAAAATATTTAATGTTAAAGGAAACATGAAGTTACTAATCAAAATATTGAATATTAAAGAAAATATGAAGTTATTGATCAAACTATTGAATATTAACGGAAACATGAAATTACTAATTAAAATATTGAATATTAACGGGAACATGAAGTTATTAGTCAAACTATTGAATATTAACGGGAACATGAAGTTACTATTTTTTTTTTAATATTAACGGAAACATAAACTTACTGATCAAAATATTGAATATTAACGAAAATATTAAATTACTGATCAAAATATTGAATATTAACCGAAACATAAAGTTACTTATCAAAATATTGAATATTAAAGGAAAAATAAGCTTACTGATCAAAATATTGAATAATAATAAAAATATGAAATTACAAGAACATGGAATTATTGATCAAAATATTGAATAATAACGGAAAATTACTGATTATATATATATATATATATATATATATATATATATATATATATATATATATATATATATATATATATATATATATATATATATATATATATATATATATATATATATATATATATATATATATATATATATATATATTCAAATACTTTTATATATTAAAATAATTATAGACACTGATTTATTATATATTTAAAAAATATATTTTATTTTTATATATAAATTAATTTGAATACAAAATTTTCAATTTATTTAAAATATAAAAATTTTATTTAGACACATGTTATCATATGAACTATTTATATGCTAGACAAAATATTTTATTCAAAAATAAAACCTCCCAAGGAAAAACCAAATAAAACTAAAGATTGACCATCAATATTTTTCAGGGGTGTGAAACCAAAAATATTGAGCTGCGTTATCTTTCTTGTTTCAGAGATTCTTGTAGCAGCAGAAACTGTTTTCTTGCACACACCAAGATAGTTTTGTCAGCAACAACAAAGAAATATGCATATATAAATATATATCAACATGGAATTTTCTATTCATCTAAATGGTGCTTTCATGTTCCACTTACCAACATTTTTTATGAATTTGGAAATTGGTCAAATACATCCACTATAGGATACACTTCATGTGGCAGTGGTTAGAGATAAATGTGACCTACACAATCTACCAAAGTCAAAGGATAGTTTTGTTTTGTTTTTTCATTTGGGGTCTTTATTGTTGCATGTGTGGTCCTTCCGGGGTGCCCGCCAATGTTGACCCAATGCATGCACTGAAACACTTTCATAGTGGCTAATGGCTAATCAAAACAACAATAATGAATAGACGAAATTATTGTACCTCAATAATCAAAGCGAAAAGTCATACATAATGTTTTAGGTGCAGAAATTTCAAAAAGAAAATGAAAAACAATATTTTTTTATCCCTGAACGTCTAAGATACTGTAATAATAAAACATTTATTTAGTAGCATGTAATAATAGATAGATGGAGTGCAGTCCCATCCGAGCACCCAAAGGACATACGGGGTCCATCCCTATTGACAATGATCCATCTTATATGCAAAATTCGGGGGAGAAAGGGAGACTAAAGGGTATTAATATCTCAAAAAAGTCTTTAGTTAAGGATGGAGGGAGTATATGTGGGATAGGTTCTCATTAGACGTGTTTTATGTTGGAGTATAAGGAAGATAAAAGACAAAATGAATATTCACTGATAGTTTCAAAAATAAGGATTTATAATGAATTACAATAATTTACTTCACTAGGCTATTTATACACACAAATTAAATCTAAAATATATCTTCTACAAAGATATAAGAAGATCTAAGATATATATCTTCTAATAAAGATATAAATAATCTAAAAGATATTCCTAAATATAAATTAATATCTAATTATAAAATCTAAATTAATTCTAACATCATCTCTTAATTTATATTTATCAAAAACTGACAACACCAATTTCATCCCTTAAACTAAGAAATTGATTAGTTTTGATAGCCTTTGTCAGAACATCTGTCAGCTGCTTCTGAGTGCTACAGTGCACAACCTCTATTATTTCATTATGAACCTGATTCCTCAGAAAATGATACTTGGTCTCAATATGCTTGCTTCTCCCATGCAACACTGGATTTTTGGCAAGATTGATTGCAGACTTGTTATCAATCATCAGCTTCAGAGGTTTATTTACCTCAATCTTCAGATCTTTCAGCAAGTTCAGAATTCACACAGCTTGACATGCAGTCAGAGCACCTGCAATATATTCAGCTTCACAGGTTGACAGAGCAACAACAGGTTGCTTCTTGGAACACCAAGAA